TATCCTCATGAAGCCGCTGCTCGCCACCGCCACCGCCAACAGAGTCAGACCCTTATGCGTCGCGCCACTCGCCACCGCACTCAACCGATCCCTGTGATCGCCATGTTCATTCACCCTCTGTCCCGTATCTTCCGCTTCGTCGTCCTCCTCTGCCGCTCGTTCTAAGACTGTGCCTTCCTCCCGCTCGGCCCCCTCCCCCTCCCCCTCCCCCCCGGCGCTGTCTCTACCGCATGGCAGGTGGCGTGCGGCACGGCGGTGGAGCTCAACGACCGCCGCGAGATGGGGCTGTGCCTCGCTGCGCGCCGAGCCAACGCGGAGCGCGTCTACATGGGCGTCAAGAGGTGCGGCGTGGGCGGTAGCGAGGGCGTGGCGGGGCTGGCGGGGTTAGTGGGAGTGGGCTGGTTGGATGAGTTGTGATTCTCTTGGTTATGCCGCTGGAGCGGACTCTAGCACCAGCTGCTGGAACTCTCCGCTCCTCGTCCCTCCGCCCAGTCTCCCCCCTTGTCCCCATTCCTCCCCTCCCTCCCCTTCCGCCCACTGCCCCCGCGCGCCAGGAAGCTGCTGGGGTGGTCGTCGTCGGGCGTGGTGGCGGCGTGCCAGACGTCGCTGCCGCGCGCGTGCACGCTCGTCGTGTCGCAGGGCGGCCGCGGCCACAAGCACCAGCAGCTCATCGGCGCGCAGCGCACCGACCTCTCCGCGCTGCCCTCCGTCTTCCTGCAGTTCCACTCCGCGCCCTCCTCCAACGACGCCCTCGCCGCCCGCCTCGCGCCCCCCGCACTCCCCCCCGCCACCCCCTCTGCGCTTAAACCCCCTGCGTTCGCCTCCCCCCTGCACGTGCGCCGCCCCTCCGACCCCCCGCCGCTGGAGGCGTCCGCGTCCCCCCTGGGCAGCAGCGGCGCGCCGTCGTCCGAGTTCTCCCTCTCGTCCTCCTCCTCTGGCCCGCACTCCCGCTCGCTCCCCCTCGCCGCGCCCGCGCCCGCCCCGCCTGCAGCAGCGGCTGGCGGAGAGGCGGCGGAGAGGGATCCATGGGGACAAGTGATGGACCGGGGGAAAGGGGCGGAGCAGAGGCGCGCGGGAGCGGGAGGGGAAAGGGGGAAGCAATCGCGCTTGTCGTTTTCGACTCTGGAGGAGCTGCAGCAGATGGCTGTGCGCGAATCCGAGGTGCGGCGAGTATGGCCGGGCTGGGGGGCGTGTTACGAGTGCAGCGGCACCTGTGCTGGCCCGCTGGGGCGTTGCCTCTCGCTCCTTGCTGCGCGTGCAACACCCCGCTTTCGCCGCGTTCACTCACCCTTCTCCCCCTCCCTCCCTATCCTCTCTTCCCTCCCCTCCCCTCCTTTCCCCACACCTTCCCTCCCCTCTTCTGCCCCTCTCTACCCCCCCACCCACCCGCAGGCCAGCGGCGCGCAGCCCATGTCCTCCGCGGCACGCCATCGTTCCCCCGGCGCTGCTGCGGCCGGAATGCCCGCCAGGGACGGGGGTTGGGGGGAAGCGGCGCTGAGGGAGGCGGGGCGCGGGGCGGGCATGGGGCCGAGCCTCAGCGCGTCGTGCTCGCCCTCCGCCACGCCCGGGGGGATGGCGATGGGGGCAGGGGGCGAGGAGGGGCGGTGGGGGGCGGGGCATGCAGTGCGGAAGCGCAGTGCGGAGCGAGTGGCGTTGCCAGAGGGGATTCCGGAGGAGGGCGAGGGGGGCGGGGCGGTGGGGAGAGGGGATTGGGATGGGGGAGGGGAGGAGGAAGGGGAATGGGAAAGGGGAGGCGGAAGGGGAGGGGGGCGGTCGCTGCTGGCGGATGAGCTGGCGATGCTGGAGGCGGAGGATGAGGGGGGCGAGGGGGGAGGGCAGGGGGCGGGGGAGGGGGAGGAGGCGGCGTGGGTGGGCAAGGGCGTGAGCAGCAATCGCGAGGTGGACGGCAGTGCTGCGGGGGCGGGCGACGGCAGAGAGGTGAGGTGGGGGGTCGTGCAAAGGGGTAAGCCCGTGGGCAGGCGGGCGGACGGGCGGGCAGGCATGCAGGGGCGGGTGTGAGCGAGGTTGGGGAGGACTTCGCTTTCCCATCTTGAACCTTTTCACTTTCTATTTTTCCCTCACACACACCCCTTCTCACTCTCACTGCTCCAGTCTCCCGCCCTCTCCCTCCCTCCCCCTCCTCGCCATGGCGCCCCCTGTCCCCCAATGGCCCCCCACCAGCCGGGGGCAGCGCTGTCGCCGGCGCCATGCAGCCCGCTGGCGGGCAGTAGCAGCTTCAGGGGCAGCGCGCTCAGCCCGGGAGGTAGCAGTGCGGGTGGCAGCAGGCACGGCAGCCGCCAGGGCAGCATGCAGGGCAGCATAGAGGCCGTGGGGGGAGCTGGTGTGGGGGTGATGAGTGGCGGTGGCAGCGTGGGAGCGGGTGACAGCAGTGGCACCGGGGGGCTCCTCTCCCGGCCCGCGCCCACCTCCTCCTCGTCCTCGTCACGCGCCTCGCGCTTCCACCACCTGTCGGCGCCGTCCAACACATCCCTCGCCGCGTACTCACAGGGCCCCATGGCCTCGCAGCCCGCCGCCTCCTCCTTCGGCCGCTCCGCCTTCTCCTCCGGCCAGCTCACCCCTGGCAGCAGCGCAGCGGTGGGTGACGGCTTTGACTGCCGCCAGTTCACGGCGCAGCAGCTCACGCGCGCCACGGGCAACTACGCCCAGGAGAACCTTCTGGGAAAGGGGTCGTTCGGGGCAGTGTTCCGTGGGGAGATGCTGGGGTGCCAGGTGGCGGTGAAACGGCTGGAGGGGCAGGGGTGGCAGGGGCCCGACGAGTTCCGCGTGGAGGTGGAGGTGCTGAGCCGCATGCGCCACCCCCACATCGTGCTGCTCATGGGCTGCTGCGTCGAAGACATGGCTCTCGTCTACGAGTTCCTCCCGGGCGGCACGCTACAGGACAAACTGGGCCCGCCCAAGACGGCGGATGCTGTGCGGCTGAGCTGGTCGGACCGGCTGCGCATCTGTGGGGAGATGGCGACTGCGCTGATGTACCTCCACCGCAACGACCCGCCCATCGTGCACCGTGACTTAAAGCCCGACAACATCCTGCTGGACGGCAACCTGGCGAGCAAGATCGGCGACGTGGGGCTGGCGCGGCTGCTGGAGGCGGACGGGTCCACCACCATGAAGGTGCGCGGCACACTGGGGTACATCGACCCCGAGGAGGTGGAGACGTGTGAGATCAGCGTGCTGTCCGACGTGTATGCGCTGGGGCTCATCATGCTGCAGCTGCTCACGGGGCAGCGCGCCGTCAAGGCCGTGCACCGCATGCTGGCCGAGTGCGCCAAGCACGCCAAGACGCCCCAAGGCAGCCAGCCAGGCCCGGGGGGGGCAGCGGTGGGGGCGGTGGGTGTGGTGAGCAAGTACCTGGAGAGCACGGGCGGCGAGTGGCGCATGGACCTGGCAGAGGAGGCGGCGGGGCTGGCACTGCGATGTGCGGACCGGCGGCGCGAGAACCGGCCGAACCTGAAGCGCGAGGTGCAGCCGGCGCTGGTGAGGATCGCTGCGGCGGCGGAGGAGGAGGTGAAGGCAAGGAAGAAGCACAGCGACTCGCAGTTCATCTGCCCCCTCTCCAAGGTATTCGGGGTCTCATGTGCTCTCACGCACCCACCATTTATTATACACACCCACATACGCACTGGTGTCACTCTCAGATGCAGTCCTGACACCCATCATCACCCTGCCCTGCATGCATATGCCACCACCATGTGCACACGCTCAATCCTCGCCCTGTGCTGACCTGCTCTGCCCTGCTCTGCCCTGCACGCACCACCACAACCACCACGACTGGCAGGAGGTGATGAGGGACCCAGTGGTGGCGGGGGACGGGTTCACATACGAGCGCGAGCACATCACACGCTGGATGGCCTCCTGCACGCTCTCGCCCTCCACGGGGCAGCCCCTGCCGCACACGTGCCTCACCCCCAACAACGTCCTCAAAACGCTCATCGCCTCCCACAAACTGCGCTGATCCCCTCTCCGCTACACCCTCGCCACTCACTCCCTCTACACACACTGAACGCCCCCCTTTCTTTCTGCCCACCCGATCACTGCTGCCTGTCTGTCACCCCACTGTCCCCCCTGCTCCTTTCCTTTCCCTTCTCCATTCCCTTGCCCTCTTCGCTTGCCTCAGCCATCCCTTCTCCCACCCGGCATCTCTCCACACCTTCGTCTTGTTCCCCCACTGCTCCGACCCGACCCTCTTCTGCTTCTACAGAATGTCTCCCTCTGCCACTCTGCCTCCCATGCACAGCCTGCCCCAGTGCCCAACCTTTTCCCAGTTGCAATGCCCTCTCAATCATTGCAGCTGGCTGGTGTTGTCCTTTCCAGGGTCCTGACCGTGCTGTGCCGCGGTCTGCACCACTGTTTTCCCTCTCAATGCATCTCTTACCTAGCTGCACATGCCTTGTGCATTGCATCCATCCTTGCATGCTGCTTGTGTGCAATGTTTGCGGGTTAAATGCACTGGGGTGCATCATCGACACAATTTACCTGTTAGAAGCATAGCTCGAATGCATGCAACCATTTGTCAGCTGACTTGTCCATTTTTTTGTTGCAACCAGTATAATGAATTCGTTGTGTGCATGGTCATTTACACTAAGAATGATCAAGTGTACTTTATTTTAGTACCAGAAAATCCTTCCATACCGTGGTTGATGGCTAGCAAAATGGTGTACATGGCCAACGGAGTTCCCTAGAATGTTCAAGTGAAATGACTACACAGAACCAGATTTCTCTGAACCTGCATTCCCTTCGTGGCTTCTCTCTCGAGATTCGCTCAGTAGCCCCTCGAGATTCCTTCTCCATTGCAGCGTTCGTCGCCTTCATCACGACTAACTGCCCAAGTTCTCCATTTTCTTGCAGACTTATTCACAGGGCAAGCCTTTGTCATCCACGTTGTCCCGATTCATTCATGGCGTCGCGCGATTTATACAAGACTAAACTCTGCGTGCTCCATGAAAGGGGAAAGTGCGACAGACCTAACTGCACGTTCGCGCATGGCGAAGAGGAACTTCGTAAAGCTCCCCCTGGAGCAACTGGTGAGTCTCTTCTGGTGCCGTTCATCCGTGCGAGACATCTGTTAATTCTGTTTTCCTCGAAGCCGGTTCATCGGGCCTGAGTGCTGTCTCTGTTTGTTCTTGTGTAAGCGATCCTCCACGCTTCACTTAATATTGGCTTCATCCGAAGTTCAGTTATTGGCAACTTACGTGACACCATGTAAACGGCACCGGAGGATTCTGTCTTCTCAAACCCTAGTTGACGAAGATGCATGTATTGTGAAGTGTTGAACAAGGTCCTTTGATTACCTTTGCACCTCCATCCATTTTCAGCCAGAACCGTCCTGACGCCGGTGCTAAAGTGAGTTGCCCTGCGTTTCTGTCAGTTGTTCACGAAGAACAGGCGAGTTCTTCATCATGTGGTTTTATTCGGCATTCCTTTTTCTGTCGTCTTCATAAGGTGTTTCAGGGAAGTACTCGGGGTACAGAGGAGGGGATCTTCGCGATCGCATGCGTTACCGTTCTCCGCCTGAAGATGGCAGACGCCGCGGACGGAGGCCTTCTCCTCCCAGGAAGCGGGGTGAGTGGGCTTCGGTGGTCTTGATAGGTAGGTCATGGTGCTGGTTGTCACTGTCGCTGCTGTGGTGCTAATCTCCTTGACTTCCTGTGTTTCTAGGTCGCAGCATATCACCATCACCTTCAAGAGACGACTATTCTGATCGTTCATATGACTCACGCTCAAGATCGCCTTCTGAGACCAGGTGCTGCTGATTGCGTGCACATGTCGGGTCTTGATTATGCACATATTGCTTTTTGGCATCCGTTACTCCTCTTCACTAAAGTGTTTCTTTTTTCCTGTTGACACTGTCCATCTCAGTGAAAGGCAACATGGTGAGAGGAAACGAGAACGTGGGGTGGACTATCGAGCTCCTGGACCTAGTTCTGGAAGCAGGGCTGTATCTGCTGAAAGAATGGAACTTGAGCGTGAGGTACATGGAAAAAGCATTCGCCTTCAACAGTTTTACCTCGTGGTGCACTTCGCTAATTGGTTCCAATTTGCAATTCTGCAGAGAAAGATGCTTCTCAAGGACGTGACCATACAGAGGGAGCACTGTGACACTCTCCAGGTTTGGATCAGACACTTGATGGTTTATTGTTATTTTTATGAAAGAAAGCATGTTAATTTCACTCCGTTTCTTGTTTATGGCGCAGACCCTCCTTGGCCGCAAGACAGAACTGGCAAAGGATCTGTTCGAGCATGCGAAGCTGTTGGAGAGGGATGTTCAAGAGAAGGAAGGCCTTATTGCCAAGTAATTGCGGTGAAGATAGTCTTGTACGACCGAATTAACGCCAACCAGAATGTGGCCTGGTGTAGCCGTCGTTTGCTCACTTGCATTTGTTGGATTGATGCAGGATCTCTGTCAACTTGAAGACGCTTGTCGAAGCTCAGCAGTGTGTCCAGGCAGCAGAGGACGATGTGAAAAGGTATAACGTTTGCAATTCTGCACAAAGATGCTTTCCTCAATATTATTTCTGAGCACTGCTGATACTGTTTCTCTGCAGGTCCAAGATTCAACTCAACATGTTTTTGGAAGAGTTGTCTCCAGATGACTTGACACCTGCGGTTTCGGCTTTGGCGAATCTCGCGGAGCTTCCGATAGCTCTGGATGCTGCACCTGTTGCACTCGCAGCTGCCACTGAATTTCCTCCTCTCGATCATGACGCATCTGGGGACATGAGCCTCGTGCCAACTCCACATGTTGGAATTTCTGATCAGGAAGGATTGCCTGGTCCAGTTATGGAGGTGGCTGGTAACCATTACACAAGACCTTCTGCTGTTGAAAATCAATCCTCTGGCAAAGCAATCTCATCAAGACGGTTTTCTCAAGGTACAGTTGGCAGAAGCATCTTTCCTGTGTAAGCATTGCATAAACGTACTAATGTTTTTGTTTGTAATGGACAGATGATTATGCAAGGTCACGTCCTGAGGACTCCATTCACGAGTCCCAGCCGCCAATGAGGAGAAGACAGTCTCGTGACAGTCGACATGCTGAGAACAGGTCTGACTTTCGTGGTTCAGAACAGAGAAGTGGGCGCGGCAGATCATCAGGCATGCGAGACAGAGACTACAAAGACGAGATGAATGGTCCAGCTGATCGAGGTGTTTATCAGGAGGATGAAGATTTTAAGCCACCCAGACCTAGGGCTGCTCCAGATGATGATGAGGCGGGCGAGCAACCTGTTGCTGATGCAGCAGAGGCTAAAGCATCTGGCAAGGGTATTGTCATGAAGTTTCTTGAAAATGACAAGCGAGGGAAACGTCAAATCGGGCAGGAGAAAGATGGAGAGAAACAGGCAAAGCTGGCTGAGGACTCTGGAAAGGGCAAGCAGAGCAGGAATGCTGATAGCGACAAGTTCCTGAAGACGTCTGAACGCCAGAAGGTCCAAGATGCTCCTTCCCAGCTGAAGTGGCTTAGGGAGGAAAAGGAGGCGCTTGCACGTAAACCGGAGCTCACTGTAAGTGTCTGTCTACGTCTTTATGCTGGTTGTGGTGATCCTTTTATGTAATCTCAACCGTTTTCTATCGTGCAGGTTCCTGCTCAGTCAAGCATAGTGAAGATACCATTACTTGAGAAGGCGAAGCAGGGAAAGGCCAAGGCGGAGGAGAAAGTGGAACAGCAGGATCAGCAGCTGCAGATTGAGCAGTCAGAGGAGGAGGATGCGTCTCTAGGGTCAAAGAAGGACTCTGCTGCAGCACAGGGTGCTGCAAAGCAGGAAACTGACAAGGCAAAGCAGGAACAGATACAGCAACGACAGCAGGAGCTGATGGAGCACATCCAGAAGCAGATTCATCAGCGACAGCAGGAGGAGCAGCTGCAGCACCAGTTGTTCCAGCAGCAGATGGCAGCAGAGGAGGCTGAGAGAAGGGCTATGTATGCAGCCCATTACCAGCAGCAGCAGCAGCTTGAGCAGCAATACTACCAGCAGCAGCCAGACCCGTATCTCATGCATGCAGAGGGGTATGCACCTCCAGAGCATTACCAAATGCCCCCTGCAGAGTACCCCATGGAGGAGGATGAGGCGCCTCCAGGTGTGACGCCTCAAGCAGATGAGGCAACTGTCCACCCAGGGGCTCACGATGTGTTCGGTATGTGCTGCCCTGACTTGTTTCCGGTCCATCATGCTGTCATGCTTCTGTTGTCGTCCTCCAGAACCACTGACCCTTTCGTTTCATACTTGTACTTCCTTTATTTTCTGCTTCCAGGTGTCGCTGCTCCTGTCGAGTAACTTGAGCTGCTCAGCAGCGCCGGCTGAGTATTCTCGGGTGCTTGCTGCTGCTTTGCCATTCAAGTTCGGATGCTCAACATCATTTCCCCGGCATTCAAGTGTTTTGTAACAGGGCTCAAGTAGAAGAGTCTACTGCTTTACTTGTGGTCATTTCACAGCCAGTACATGACCTGATGATTTTTTTGGGAGCTGTGGAGCATGTGACCTGCACTACTGGCACGGATGCCTCCACATTGCTAGAAGTGCGATTTGAGTACTGTAATCAGAATTTTCTTCAGTACATTCTAAAGTTGATCCAACGAAATGAATCCAGACAGTAGTCTCCCATTTGTGCTTCTGAGCTCGTTTAACAGTTGTACACCGGAGGAGCTGAGTGCGCCCACAAAATAATCACATTCAGAGGCAATGAGGAGCTGAGAGAGCATGCTTGCTGTGGCACCCATTGGGCTACCCAGGCTGCCTTCCAAGCCAGAAGGCAGTGATTGCCCATCATGGCCACCCATGCTCCCTACGGCACTGTGAAACGTCCAGTCTTGGTGCTCCGAGAGCTCATTGCTCACATCCTGCACACAGACGCATGCGAAACAAGAGTGTACCACGTCAGGAAGCATGAACAGTGGACCAGAAGTGGAGTGAGGGTCACATGGCACGGCATGCTGGCAGTAGCAGCTCAGCAGGGGGGAGAGAGGGCACGTACCGGCACAGTGGCTGTCAACCACACGTGACGCAAGTGTGGCACGTGGCGCCTCAGGCGATGGGCCAAGAACATGAGTGCGGGGACGTCTGGCTGGGGGGGTGATGCTGCTGGCAGCGTGGTGTTGGGGTCTGCACCACCACTATTGCCTGTAGCTTCCCCACCACCGCCCATACTCACATGCACACTCACTACAGGCCGCATGATGTATGCCTCTCGCCCCACTCCCTCATAGACCTCGTCTATAATCACACCCCCTCCCCATGCCTCCTCCTTTGTCTTCACACATCCTTCAAACCCTAACGCTAGCCACACCCGACCCTCCAGGCTTGGCCCGGACCTGATGTCTACCGAGGCTAGGAACTTGGCTTCGGCAGCCGTATCGATTCCAACGCTCTTGTCAGCCTCGGACGGGCCAGCAGAGAGAGAGCGGATGATGGCAGCCTGCTGCTGGGCAGCGAAGTGCATCTGAGCAGCGATGTAACGGCCGTAGCTGATGTGGCGGATAAGGTTGGTGACATGGCAGAGGTGAGCAGATGGCCAGCGGAAGAGGAATCGGACGGCCTGGGATCGCCACCAGTGCAACTGAAGGGAGGCAAACGGAAGGGGCGGGGAGAGGGATGTGGGAATGAGGGGGTGGATCCAGACATTGATTGAGGGCAATGAGAGGCGAGCTGCACGCATGTACGCCGATGATGGGTGCATGCACGGCCATGGCCTACCTGCTCCTTGTGTGCGTCGTGTGGCGGCACCACCCCCGCCACCTCCACCCACTGGGATGCCTCGCTCACAGCCGCACCTCACTGCCTGGCACCCCGGCAGTACAGGGAAAGGGGAAGCAGAGGCGGGGCGAGAGGAATGGAGTGTCGGGATGGGATGGGAGAGAAGGGAGGTGGGCGACTGGGATGTGGGCTGTGTGCAGCGCAGCACTGTGCCAAGTGAACACAACCAACGGTAGCTGGGTGCAACACGTCAACACAGCAAGGGAGTGGTACCACTTGGGACCAGCACATGCTTACGTGGCGATGCGTGATTCGTTGGCCAGCAGCAGCAGTTGGTTCCGGCTCAACGCCCCAGTGCAGACACGCACCACCGGATCTGCTGACGTCAGCAGGGCTTCCAGCTCATCCAAGCCCTGCGAAGCGTCCTGAGCGGCCTCTTGGGCGGCGGCGCTGGAGGCACATGCGAGGGCGCGCACGGGCGGGTGGGCGGCCATGGCGTGTGCTGCTGCCTGCTCACAGAAAGGCCCGGCGATGGGGGCAAAGAAACAGGCCAGCGACTCTGGGGTGGCTGGGGGGGTGGAAGGGAAGAGAGCAGGGAAGTGGGTGGGTGGGTGGGGAGGAATGGGGTTGGGTGCAGAAAGGTTGAGCGGACGGGTTAAATGCATGAGGCAGTGTGGCAGCTTCATGCCATGGCATGGCATGGTAAGGCATAGCATGGCGTGGCATGGCATGGCATGGCATGGCATGGCATGGCGTGGCATGGCGTGGCATGGCAGTGGTATGACGCACCGGAGCAAGCGGAGTGGTTGGCATGGGGGAAGGAGCTGGGTGTGACAAGGAGCGTGCGGTTGAACAGCACTGCCAGCCCCAGCAGGCCCCCCACCACATGCACCTCCCCCACCAACCCCTCCATATCCCCCATGGCCCCCATGCTGCCTGCTGCCATGTCAGCATTCAGTTGGGGCCAATCAGCAAGCAGCAGGCGGCGGTGGTCGCACGAAGGGGGGAATTGGTGCTGCCAGATGTGCGTTTGGGCGACACGAGTCAGCGGGAGATTGGACGCGTCGTCACCTCGTACCTGGTGAGCGGTGAGCGGAGCAGCACACGTGATGAGTCAGAAATAAGGACTTGCAGGAAATACAGCGCAAATCGCACCGTGGCAAAGCAGGGAAGCGGAGAGGCGGAGGAGTGGCTGGGTAGGTCTGACACCATGCCTTCACATGCACACCTCACTCCACCGCATTGCACCGCACCAGCACTCACCCAGGGTGGCTGGGGGGCGCATCCGCAACACGGGGACGGCGCGGTCCAGGGGGGCGCCTCCCCCCCCTCCCCCCGCGCCTCCGTGCGCGCCCTGGCCGCCGTGCGCGCCGTGCAGTCCTCCAGGTGCGGCGCGGGTGGCACGCCGGGCGGCAGGGCGACGGAGAGGGGCGGCAAAAAGGACCCCGGCGTCAACTCGTACGCCGCCTGCCAGGCCTGCGCGCAGGGGGAAAGGTGGGGGGTGGGGTGGGGAAAAAAGCGGGTAGGTGGGGGGAAAAGGGCAGTGGAGGAAGAAAATGGGGAGGGGAGTAGCAGAGGCAGGGGTTAAGGAGAGGAGACGAGACGAGACGAGAGGTGATGGCGGAGACGCAACGGACGTGAATGGCGACCGGGATGCGCGAGGACGACAGCGAGGGCAGCGAGCTCGCGATGCTGATTCGTTACGAATCACCGCTGTCCCCACTGTCGGGCCGTTGTTTGCTGCGCTGTGCTCGTCGCATCCAATCCAGCCTGCAAGCTGCACCCCTTGCAGCTGGCGAGAGTCGTTCGCTTGCATTCTTCATTCGCGAATTCTGTAACAATGAACAGCCCCATCTTGGAGGGAATGACGGACCGCCCTGGTTTCGGGTTTCCGATTCCTTTTGGCAGTGGTTTTGACACCGTCTTGCTTCGCGCTCTATTCTGATACCTTCGGTCAGTTATTTACGCTATTGCCCCTTTTCGAGTCCAGAGACTAATATTGTGTTTATTTATCAGGATAGCATAAATTGAATTGTCGCGTCAATTACGAGAAGCTCGGGACAAAAAATGTACCCCTCATGGAGGGCATGCCATTTGGAAGGCATCAACCCTAAACACCATGAGGCAAGGTGTTTAGGGTTGGTGCCTCCCAAATGGCCAGCCATCTGAGAGGGGTTTATTTTTTCACTGGCCACTAAACTAAATCCAGGTAAACTTCAGAGTTTTCCTGGTCACAGGAAATTGGAAATGTCGAAATCAGCTGCGCCAAGGAGTCGGACGCGAGCGGAGAAGTGGACACTCTTATGACGTGGCAAAAAGTGCAGCGAATGCCACTGTGCGTTACCAGCACAGTACACCCACAAAGATCCAACGCGCCCCCCATTCCCCCTTCCTTTAAGGAAAATATGCCACAAGTAACCAACTTGGGACTCGATAACGTGAATGGAAAAAAAAAACGCGTACGGTCACTGTATCGGGTTTTCTGACGGGTTTGATAAGCGGGGTCACGGATTCAGTCACTAACAACAGGTAAAAAATCACGCGAATGGTCACACATGTAACTCCCGCCAAAAAAAACTTGAAACTCAGCAAAATTCCCGCTCGCGCCCAACCAATCTGCGAACTTGTAAAAAAACTAAAACCCAATCGGAATCGGATGCGGTTTGGGAACGGATCAACCCTAAACACCTGGCGAGTTACGTGTTTAGGGTTGATCATCCGAAAATGCATCCAGGTTCTTTCTGGGTTTCATTTTGTTTTGGCGGGAGTTTCATCTGTGACCATTCGCGCTTTTTTTACCAGCTGATTGTGACTGATTCCGTGAAACGCTTTATCAGTCGCGTGAAAACACCCTTTGCAGTGACCGTACCCTTTATTTTTTTACCAAAAATGTTTTCGAGTCCCATGATGGTTACGAACGGCATATTTTCCCCTTCATTTACAGAGGGTGCATTCACAAATTTCTAGAGGCATCAGAAGCAAACATCTACAGTAAGGAAACTAATGGCGCTCAACCATCCAGGCCCAGGTAGGCAAAGTCAGCCACCGAGGGCAGGGTGGCTTCGGATGCCAACAAATCAGGAGCTGGGCTGGGCTTCCTAGCCTCCCTTCTCCAAACCAACCCCAATCCACCTTCCCCCCCTTTCAGCCTCACCTCACGTCTCCCTTCCTAACCATCTTAGTTGTTTCCTCTGCATGTCCAACCTGTGCTTCGCAGTTATGCATAAGTGACAGCCATTTAGGACCCAAGCGCACATCGTGTAGCTGACGAGCACCACCAGCAGCAGGACCACGCACGCGGGCGCGCTAGGTTTCAGTTCGTGCTGCAGTCTCCGCTTGCACGCGCGCCCGAAGTTGCGGTCGAGTCATGAGTCTCAGCGTCGGCACCTCGTCGCTGCCTGTCGACAGCTTCTCCGACCCCTACGACCCCGCATACCGCTGCCGCCCGCCTAACTCTACCACCGGACTTCACCGCTCTCACGCTAACGAGCATCAACCGATTCTTCTAGGAAGCCGAGGCGCATTCAACGGCGCCCCAGACATGGCGCCGCCACCACACATGCGGCCACCGCCGTCCGTTTTTGGGGAAACATTCTTACCCGACCAGGGATTTCCGGGTCCTCCTTTCGGCGCGGACACGATGGCGCCTCCTATTGGCGAGTGGGGGTCGGCGAGAGGGGCGGTGGTCATCCGCAGCGGCGATGACGACGACCAGTCGCGCCACGTCCCCATCACCTACCGCCCGCCGCCCCATCCGCCCCGTCCGTGCGGCTCTCAAGCTCCGCCAGCCCCGGCGCTGCACCTGGCGGAGGGCGTGACGATAAGGAAGGGCAACGACGACGACTTCGACGCATCGCAGGCCTTTCCGCTTTCCGCCAGCAGCTTCCGCATCAGCCCCCCGCAGGTGAGTGAGCCGCCGGCTTCCGTTATTCTAGCCCGCACGTGCGCTTCGCGCCATTCATCGCTTCACCGAGCCCTCTTGTTCCTCACGCGCCAATCCGCCGCCAGTGCAGCTTCCCCTCCACATCTTCCGTTTCTCTCCCCACTTCCTTCTCCCATCCCCTTTTTCCCTCTCCCTCCCTCAGGCACCTCCGCATCTCCGTCGGCTCGACCCCGCTTTCCCCGTCACCGAGTATCCCCCGACTGCCGCAGCCGCGCCGTCTTTCTACGGCTACGGCGGCCGCGGCGACTTCGGGGCTTATAACTCCAGCCCGCAGCGCTTCGACGGCGCGGGTCGCGTCTCCCCTCCGCAATACGGAGGCGTTGGCGCAGGCCGCACGGGCGGGTCCCCGCAGATGTATGCAGCGGGCGGAAGGGACAGCGGGGTGGAATGGCCGGGGCATCAGTTCGGCAGCGACCCGGGCAGGGGCAGGCGGAGCTTGGACGGGGGTACTGCGCGCATGGGCATGGGGGCGATGGGTGTGAGGGACGCGAATGCGGCCGGCGAGCTCCGCGAAATGGCGGGCGTAGGCGGCATGCGGCCAGGGCAAGGCGTGTTCACGTCGCGGTCGTATGACGAGCAGAGGAACCGCGAAATGTACGGCGAGAGGCCCGGGGCAATGCGCGGAGCAGTGTGCGCGGATGGCATAGGTAACGAGGGAAGCTGGCGGAGCGGGGGCGAGTACTACCCGGGCGAGCGGGAGGCGGAAGGGCGAAGCGGCGGCGGGAGCCATCAGAGCGCGCTGTCGCTGAAGGAGGAGCTCGCGGCGCTCGACTTGGGCAGCGATGGCGCGCACGACGAAGCGCCTCTGCGGAGCTCCCAGCAACCCAACTCCGACGAAAGCTGGGTACGCGTGTGAGAGGGGTGGCGGGAGGTGGGGATTGGAAACGAAGGAAGAGGGGGGAAGGGGCTGGATGGGGAAGCGGGTATCTGAGGGGGTATGGATTGGGGGAATTTGGGCAAACGGATGATGCGGAGTTCCACAGGAGATGCAGCGATTCCCATAGTGTCGCGCATCGCTATACCTCTCCATGCGAATCGTGTTTCACAGCACAGGATATGTGCCGCAATACAGGAACGAACTACACTTTATTGGGCTTTAGGGTACAGCACATTACAGGATTTGAATAGCACTACGGAAATTAAGTGGCATTTTCATGTTGATGCACAACCAGGGGCAATTGAACTGCAAAGTTAGTTCATTGCACCAACCACGCCCCACTACCCCAACACACCAGTACGTTGCACAGTACGCCCCATTGTAGTGCCGCATGGCCTAATTGGCCTTATCATTTTCCCCTCCCCCTTTCTCCCCCCTCACACCCACCCTCTCCCTCCCCCCTTTTCCCCATATATGCAACCACTTTCAGAACCTACCATTCAACCCATCATGCGAATACCCGCAAAGCAACCAGTTCAATAATCACCCTAAACACTCCGCCAACGTCACTGCAGATTCCGGTGCTTACTTAAGTGCCGACTTCTCCATATATTCCTCCACCTCTCTCTCCCTCCCATTCCGCTCTCGCTACCCAACGTCGGGCTTTCCTCCTGGCAGCAGTGGGGTGTGGGGGGATCCGTGGTGGCGGAGAGTGATGCAGGGAGTGTGATGGGCGGAGGGGGGGCGGGAGCAGGCGGCGATTGCCGTCTTTTTACGCAAGAGCAGCTGGCGAGGGCAACGGACAACTGGAACCCGGCGAATCAACTCGGGAAGGGCGCCTTCGGCACGGTAAGCTCGTGGAGAAGGAGTAGGAGGAGGAGAGGGAGGGGAAGGGTAAAAATGGCCATGTTTGGAAAGAGTTTGTTTCTTAGTAACATGGCTTGTGCCGTCCCTGCGTTTTGGTCCTCTCTCCCTCTTGCCAGGTGTACCGGGGTCGAGTGATGGGGTGTGAAGTGGCAGTGAAGCGGCTGGAGGGCAGCAGCTGGCAGGGCCCCGATGAGTACATGACGGAGGTGGAGGTGCTGAGCCGCATGCGCCACCCCCACATCGTGCTGCTCATGGGCCACTGCCCCGACGCCATGTGTCTCGTCTACGAGTACCTGCCAGGTGGCTCCCTGCAGGACCACCTCAAGCCCACCGCCGGGCGGCGGCCTTTGTCTGTGGTGGAGCGGGTGCGGGTGGCATCAGAGGTGGCGTCGGCGCTGCTGTTCCTGCACCACCACGACCCGCCCATCGCCCACCGCGACCTCAAGCCCGACAACGTGCTGCTTGACGCCAACCGCGGCTGCAAGCTGGCCGATGTGGGCCTGGCGCGCCTCATTGCGGAGGATGACGCCACCACCACGCGCGTGCGCGGCACCGTGGGGTATATCGACCCGGAGGAGGTGCTCACCTTTGAGATCAGCGTGCTGTCGGATGTGTATGCCCTCGGGCTCGTCATGCTGCAGCTGCTGACAGGCGAGGCGGGCATCAAGAGCCTGCACAGGCGCATCAAGCCCTTTCAGGACGCCCTCGACAGGTATTGGGAACAGGGAGGCGCTGTCGGCAGCAGCAGCAGCAGCAGCAGCGGCAGCCCCATGGTGCAGGCCGTGGCAGCGCTGGTGTCAGAGCACCTGGACGTCTCGGGCGGCGAGTGGCCGCTGTCCGTTGCTTGCCAGCTGGCAGAGTGGGGCCTGCGGTGTGCCGCCCGGCAGCGAGCATGCCGCCCGGATCTGGCGGGCGAGCTGCAGCCAGCCTTGCATGGGCTGGTGGAGGAGATGGAGGCGGGGGAGAGGCAACGGCAGCAGAGCTTTGAGGACCAGTTTGTGTGCCCACTCTCACATGTATGTGATGCTGTGAACCTGTGCCACCTGTGCTCATGTCCCTTCTTTGCCCTTCTCTCTTCCCCTCTTTCCTCGTTCTCTTTCACTTGCCTCCATTGGCCCTGCTCCCATTTTTCCAAGATCCCTCACACACTCTCCCTCGCCCCTGTTTCCTTCCCCCCTGTTAACTTCTCCCCCCCCTCTCCAGATGAGAATGACTGACCCAGTAGTGGCAGCAGATGGCTTCACCTACGAGCGCAGAAGCATAGAGGAGTGGCTCAAAACGCATGACACATCACCATCCACTCATGAACCATTGCCACATAAATACCTCACACCCAATCATTCACTGCGCATGCTGTTGCAGTAAGAGCCCTTGGGATTTGTTCGTTTGGTACAAAAAGAAGAGCTTTGTGTATCCTGGTTTGCTTGCATTGTTGCTTGTGTGGTCAGTACTTCATTTCATCTCATTTTATTCTATTTGTGCATTGCCCTTGTGTAACGCGTTGCTTTGCTGCTTAATCGTTATCACCACACAACGAATCATGAATATGGACCCTCACATTTTGCATCCCTGGATCTCGCGTCGAATCCCAGTCGCAACTCGCACGTGCGGCCCTAACAGCGAGGGCAAATCAGCGACGGGTACCAGCCCCAAGAGCGCGACGACATCCAAACCAACCCGAACCAATCACGGGCCAGCCATCGGTGGGGAACGAAACAGCCAACGTTCATTCGCCCGCAACGCTAAGGGCGTGTAACCATTTTTCTCCCGACGGTTCACACCGTAGACCGTCCCGTTGACGAAAAGTTACTCGTTTCGTATTTTCTCGTTTAGATTTCGTGAATGCTTGTGCGAATACGCCAACAATTCGAACCGTGGTGACACTTTTTCCTTCTTTCAACGGTTCAGAATGTGAGCCACGGAGAGTCCGAAACCAATTCGGACAGTCCGCCAGTCCTGTCTGGAGATTAGCGCGCGAGACCGAATCTACAGTACCTTTTCTGATTGGCGGACGAATTTATATAACGAGCTTTCTCGAATCACGTTACGAAGATACACTACCTCTAACGAGGCTACAGTGCTCGCCAAAATGATGAACAGACAAAAAGTGTCACTTTCCTACCCAGACGGTGGAAAAAAACCGAAACGTCAAAACGGACGGTTCTGTTCTCATTAGTTGGACCGTCCGTTTCGAAATATGACCGTCCGCAATAGCGCAAAAAAACAAAATGGTTACACGCCCTAAACATCCAGCGCCTCTTTTTCTCACCAAGCCAAACCCTACCACGCCGCGCGGCATCTTTCTATATCTCGTTGAATCTGACTCCACCGCTCCTTCCGCGAACAATGCTACATTCATTTATCTAGTTACACCAGTTGTCTGGTGGTGGTTCTCCCTACCATTGAGGTTTTTATTCTCGCTTTCCTATCCAGCCGTAAATGCTTGTTCGACTGCATAAGCACAGCTGTAGATTCTGGAACTCCAGGTTGTTACTAAACTCTACTTGCATTAGCGCACGAGTCGTTTTCGGAGTTCTTTCTTTTTTCTTTTTACTTCCTCGTCGCCGACATGCCCGCATCGGGTCTACTCGCGTCCCGCGCGTCCTCTGTTCTCGCCGACCTCACCGCAATGATTCAGATTCACGACGCACCTGCCGCGGCTGCAGCCCTCAATTTACATCCAAACAGCGCGGCGCTTTTTCCGCGCGGCTTTGGGGTCGGAATTGGCGAGCGCGGCGTCAGCAGCTCTTCGCGGTGCGGGTGCCACCAGCAGCTCAACTGCCGAGCTAGGCGGCACGCTCGACTGCTTGCAGCGCGCACACGTAAAGCAGTCATCGCGCGAGCCGCCATTCGTTCTGCTTCTCCGCCTCCCTCTAGTCCTTCCTCTTCCACGGGCCGCACTCACGCCGCCATTGCTGCAGGTGCCACGGCGACCGTGGAGGCCCAATCTGCGGCCAGCGCGATTCTGCCGACCGTTGCAATTCCCACAATTCTGCCACGTGGCATCGAGCAAGACAAAGTAGAGGGCAATTCAGCGATTCTTAACGACATGTTGGCGGGCGGTTCGGGGAAGAGTGCAGCGGGTCTCGCGGAGAGTGCAGCGAGAGGGGAGGGCAAAACTGCGTCGCAGGAGGTGGTCGCGTCAGTGGCTGGGGAGCGCGCGGAGGGCGCTGGTCGCACGGCGTTGACGGCGACGGCGACGGCGATGGTGTCGCCGATGCGGAGGAAGCGGACAACGGGGCCCGTCGTTCTTCATGCTGCTGACGGTGAGCGCCGCGAGGGCGGGGGTGAGGAGCGCGAAGATGGGGTGAGAGCCGCGGGTATGGGGTGAGAGCCGCGGGGATGGGGTGAGAGCTGCGGGTATGGGGGCGAGAGGCGCGGGGATTGGGTGAGAGGCGTGGGTACAGGGTGGTGGGAGGGGGGGGGGGAGGGGGGGTAGGAGGATGGGGAAAAGAGACTCGAGAGCGTAATTGCACCAATGGCGGGCACGGCGTGTAGTTTCTTACGGCATGGCCCCTGTCAGTAAGACAAGGGATGCCCATCACTGTCTTCTATGCTCTGTGCCCTACGTGCCGCAACCATATGCCCCTCTCTGCCTCGTGCCCCCCCACTTCTCTACCCAAACCTCCCCTCTCTCCCCTTCCCCGCTCCATGCGCACTCCTCGCCCCCCTCTTTCCCCCGCCAGTGCAGCGCGACGGCAGCGTCATCCTGCGCTTCGCCCCCCTGCCCGACCCCCTCGCGCCCACCGCGCACGCCCTCAGCCCTGCCGCCGCATCAGCACACGCTGAGCAGAACAGCAGCGGGGCGCCCAGGGAGGGCGGGGAGGTGCCGCCACGGGGAGGCGCGGCAGAGGTGCGGGCGGACGCGGGCGTGGTGGCGTTCGTGACGGCGTGCACGAGCGAGTTCAGCCGCGAGGTGCCTGACGCACTCATTGAGGAGATCGTGGGGCTGCCCCTCCGCCTCACCCCGTGAGTGCTGCCCCTCCGCCTCACCCCGTGAGTGCTGCCCCTCCGCCTCACCCCGTGAGTGCTGCCCCTCCTCCTCACCCCGTGAGTGCTGCCGCTCCGCCTCACCCCATGAGTGCTGCCGCTCCGCCTCACCCCGTGAGTGCTGCCCCTCCGCCCCACCCTGTGACAGTTGGCGCATGGGGCTGTGCATCGCTCCACCAGCCACATACCTGACTGCCCCCACTGCCCTCTGCCCCCTCCACCGTCCACCCCTCTGCCCCGTTGCTGCCAAACCACGCGTGCACCTGGCTCGTCGTTGCTCAGTTATATCTCCTTTATTGTTCTTCCATTCCCCACACTATTTCTTCACAATAATGCTCGTGTTGTCTCACAACTGGTATTTCCCCCTCTCCCCTGTTTCTCCAATTACCAATCAGAGTGGACCACGTGGCAAAGTGGGTGGCCATCTCAGCGCACCACACTGTCGCCGCAATCAACCACGTCATCGACCTGCCAGCCTCCGCCCTCCACCACAGCTCGCTGCCCTCCCTGCCGCACGTGCTTGGCCTGGGCAAGCCTCTCCTGCCTTCCGCCCCCTCTTCCTCGCCTTCCAGTGCACCTCCTGTGGTGGCCCCAACGGCACCATTCCAAGATGGCCAACCCACACCTCCACCAGCCGTGCCAGTGTCTGCAGCAACACCCTTGCCAGCCCACTGCGCTCCTCCCTCCCCAGCTGCCTCTATTGCTGTCACCGCCATCACAGGTGTCGTGCTGGCAGGCCTGGTTCAGTTCCTAGCCTCGCTCGCAGGTCTGGTGGGACGTGTGCCGGGCGGCAGCAGTGGGGTGGGTCAGAGCAGGCTGCTGTGGAACCTTCCAGCAGCTGCGGTCCTGCTGCTGGTGGCGGCAGTGAAAGTGTGGGCGACATGGTGGCATCTGCACCACAGGCAGCATGTCGTTGCAGCTGTTTAGGCGAAGGGGTTTGTAAGTTGGATCGTGTTCGCGTGAAAAATGCACAGGTGAAATGGACAAGCGCATACAGGTGTGTAGATAAAACGAACCAGTAAGGCTAAAAGAGGAGGGGAGGGAAGGTGGGAAGGGAGGTGGGGTTGGGAGAAGGGGTGGGACGGGGGAAAGGGGGTTGCGGAAAAGGAGAGAAGCAAGGGGGGCCAGTGGGGGAAGGGGGTGGGGTGGAGGGGGGGTGGGGAGGGGATGGAACAAGGGAGGGGAGCAGAGGAGAGGAGCAAGGGAAGAGGTAAACTGATTCACTAAGCCAGCAGTTTATATTGTTGTAATGTGTGTGTTCACTGTGTGTTTGTGTGTGGATCCAAGTGTGATTTGTACATATTTATTATATCTTGAATATGCGTTTTTCTCATAGCAAAACTGTTTTTGAAACCCTTCTGTAAGGAAAATTCCTTTTCCTTCGCGTCCCTGCTCAGCGCGTACACCACCGTTCCCGCCAACAGCACCCCACAATAATCCGTAACCACTCGCGACATTCGCCTCGACACTATTCCCGCCACTGTTCACGACGCGACCCAACCCCACGGTTCGGTTGGTAACTCGCGCTCCGGACCTCCGCCTCGACAATCCCCAACCTCGGCGCCAGGCCCGTCGCGCACCCCATTTTCCACACGTTACCGTTACCACTGTAGCTTCGCTATATATTCTTCGCTCAATCCTTCGCTCATTGTATTCTTGTCTCGATAGTGCAATCCTCGCTCGCTCACTCAATTGCACTCGTAACACTTGGTATTCTGAGCCTACGATCTTCTCTCGGACCGCACCCACACCTTCGCTTCCCCACTATCTCAATTTTGGGGGGGGGGGGGGGGGGGGGGGGGGGTGGACGTCTCTCAGCGACCAAGCACCGCCGCTCGTAGTGCTCTCTCGTAAGCACGCACGGCCACGACAGAGGCTCTCGCTGAGCTTGCCCGACACCCCTGCCATGGCTGAAATTACTCTCGCGACATTGACGCAAGCGCAGCTCGACCGTCTCGTACGCCAACTCGAAGATTCGGCCCTCGAAATCGCTACGCTCACAGCGGAACGCGACTCCGCTCGCCAGCAATCGACAGTGACTGCACCAGCACCAACAAATGCACCCGCACCATCAGAGGAGCCGATCGTCATCTCATCAGGCACACCAACACAGAACGACAGCGTGGGACAACGCTCAGGTGTAGCCAGTGATGGTGCCACTCACTCAATGCCTGGCATGGAGGAAAATAGGGCCGCACCAAGCCAGCGGGAGCCTCGCGAAGCCCGTCAGCATGTGGAACTTGCAGCGACAAGTGGCGAGCACGCCCTCACGGCACCAATGCCACTCAAGCTGCAACGCCCGCCCTGTTTCGACCCGAGCCAACGGGGAGGTCCGACGGTTCAATCGTGGGTCTTCACAATGAACGTCTTCTTCGACGCGAATTACGTCGAGTTGGACGCTGCGAAGATTCGCTACGCTGTTTCGCTGCTGAGGGGCCCCGCCATGGACTGGTGGCGAGTCATCGTGACGTCGCCACGCGCCTACGAGCCATCGTCGCAAGAGGAAGGGCCCACGGGCCCAGCCGTCACCTGGAGTTCATTTTGCGAGACAGCCCAGTACAGCATGTAGGATGCGTGGTGCACAGGGCTTCGGGCGCGCTTCGAGCCGATTGCGGCTTCGATTTCGGCGCGTCAGAGACTGCGTAATTGGCGGTGTCAAACTAACGAACAAGAATGATTGAATTCAGACAGAACTGAGTACAAGTACTAACCCTAATTGGGTTGTACCCCTTATGGCCTACCCCACTATAGCCTACACAAATGTAAGCACTATAACATTCTGACACACCCCCATAGGCAGAGTGGGGGAGAACAAGTGGTCACAAGATCAGTCAAGAAAAGCAAAGGAAGCTCATGGTGGATCACAAAGTCACCACACAGTCTGAGCACAAGCAAAGGGCCACAAGGCCAGATCACATACAAAGTTATATAAAAGAGAACAAACAATACAGTGATCATACCCTAGCAAGTGTAAGCATGCAGGTATATATATAGATCACAGTACAAGCAAAGTCAAGCAGTGAGCAAGTGAGACAAAGTAGGCACAAGGCCTAACACAGTAGAGAAGCGCTGATGATCACCAGGCGGAAGTGCCTTGGTGAATATATCAGCAGTGTTGGCCCTAGTGGCCATGTACGCAAGACGAAGCTGGCCACGCTGCTGCAACTCTCGAGCAAGGAAGTATCGCAGAGCGATGTGCTTCGTTCGGTGCTCCAGTCTGTGCTCCTAACACAAGGCAATCATGGCCTTGTTGTCTACGTACAGAACTGGAGGCGAATGAGGCTGCTCTCCCAAGTCAGTCAGCAGGTAGGTGAGCCAGCGTAGCTCCTGTGCAGCCATGGCCCCTGCGTAGATCTCAGCCTCACAACTGCAGCTGAGAACTGAAGACGAGCGGGTAGACCGCCAGGAAACAGAGCCGGAACCGAGGCTGAAGGTGTACCCCTGTGACGACCGCTGCGTAGCTACGTCGTCAACCCAAGAAGCGTCTGCATGACCAGTGAGGACAACTGGACCCCATCCTCCAAGCACGAGGCCCATGCCCGACGTACTGCACAAGTAACGCAGTACCCTCTTCGCAGCATCCCAGTGCACCTTTTGGTGCCTACCGGGAGCCACGTAGCGAGCCAGGAGGCTGAGAGGGTATGCGAGGTCAGGTCGTGTGCACGTCATCAGGTACATGAGGCAACCCACAAGCTCTGGGTACGGACCACTCGGCTCTACGGACTCGTCCGAAGGTGGAGCTGAGAGCGAGTGGCCAGTAAACAGAGGAGTGGGCTGTGGCGAGGAGAACTAGAAGCCGAAGCGCTGAAGGACCTGGTGCACCATGTGTGACTGAGTCAGTGTGATGGTGCGCCGTGCTCTGTCCCTGGTGATCTGCAAGCCAAGATAGATGCGCAGTTCACCCAATTTAGTGTAGGTGTGTCTCTTCTGCAGCTCCGACTTCACAAGGGTCAGTGCCTCAGTGTCAGCAATGGCAAAGACGAGGTCGTCGACGTACACGAGGACGTAGAACGGCGGCAGCGACGTGTCGGTGCGTAGAAACAGCGACAGGTCAGCAGTAGAAGGAGCAAACCCCAGAGCCGCAAGTGTAGACCTCACTGTGTCATGCCACTCACGAGGCGCCTGGCGGAGACCGTAGATTGGCCGCCGGAGGCTCCACTGGGTACCTGCAGGAAATGACCCAGTGAAGCCAGGTGGGCGGCGCAACCAGATCTCCTCGTGCAGGCTGCCGTGTAAGAAAGCTGTGCTGAAGTCCAGAGAGTGCAACTCGTAGTCACGCTGAGCAGCGACGTGCAGCAACACCCAAAGAGTAGTCATCTTCGGGGTGGGGGAGAAGGTCTGGAAGTAGTCGACCCCCTGTCGCTGACTGAAGCCTCGAGCAACGTAACCCGCCTTGAAGGCAGGCGGAGAACCCGGCGGCCGCTTCACCCTGAAAATCCACATGCCATCGACTATGTTCGCCCCAGACGGGGGAACTGCGTCCACGTAGGTGCCTGTGGACTTCCAGGATGCCATCTCGGCATCCATGGGTGCCTGCCACTACGAGGAGTAGGGACCCGTAAACGCCTGTGCGTAAGAGCGCGGGGTCGGGATGTCTGGTGCATCCGCGTCTCCCTCAGGGGCAAGCAGCATGGAAGCGAAACGAGGTACAGCAGCTGCAAGACACTCAAAGTCCTCTTGCCTGTCCTCAAGGACGTCCATGCCAAGAGCACACTCATCCCGGACGGACGAAGGACTGGCAGACTCAGACTCAGCAACAAGAGCAGTGGCGTAGTCTAGACGGCAGGCAGCAGCAAAGTCAACCAGCTCAGCAACGAGGGTAGACGCAGCAGTGGACTCAAAAGAAGGGTCGATGACAACAGTGGCGAGGAGACGAGAGACAGTGGGACTGGCAGCACGAGCGCGGTCAGACTCAGGGTCAGGGACGGCAGGAAGAGAGGACTCACGAGGAGCAGGCAGAGGAACACGTAGTGGAACAGAGGAAGGACGAAGTGCCATAGCGTGTGTGCCGGGGACAGGAGGAGGACGCGGACGAGGAACGCGACGACCAGTGCGAACAGGGGAGGCAGGACGAGACGCAGGCTCACGTCACTCTGTAAGGCCACCGGTCTGCTCAGTGTAAGGAGAAGGAGCAGGCAGTGGGGAGGCTGGCTGTAACGGCGGCTGCGACTGGTCTAGCGGTGGACACAGTAGGGGAGGAGTAAGGCCAGTAGAAGACGGGACACCAAGAACCTGCTGTTGCAGGGAAACGAAGTACGGTCGCGGCCGCACAATGCCTCCAGCACAAGTACCACCAGCACCCCAAGCTCCAGCATCAACAGCTCCAGCTCCTCGAGCTCCAGCGCCTCCCGCACCAGTGCCTCCAGCTCCAGCTCCACCAGCTCCAGCTCCTCCAGCTCCAGCGCCACCAGCGCCAGTGCCTCCAGCTCCAGCGCCTCTAGCCCCAGCAGCTCCATGCTCCGTAGGGACTCTAGCTCCAGCGCCCCCACCACCACAAGTCCCGGCAGCTCCAGTTCCCCTGGTACGAGCACCTCCAGGACCAGCAGCCACAGCACCTCCAGTACCACCAGCTCCAGCACCTCCAGCTCCAGTGTCTCCAGTGTCTCCAGTGGCTCAAGCTCCGGCAACTCCACTCCGAAGGCGTGTGCGCCAAGCAAACCACTCGCGCAGCTGTTGCGGGGAGAGAGGCTCCGGCCGGGGAGACAGACGTGGCGAAGCACCTGCAGGACCTCCAAAAGAAGCAGTACCCCGAGGCTCAGCATCCCCAGACTCCTCACCCTCAGACTCAGCACCCCCAGGCTCAACACCCTCACGCTCAGCACCCCCAGGCTCCACACCCGCAGGCTCAGCACCCCCAGGCTCCGCACCCGCGGGCTCAGCACCCCCAGACCCGGCACCCTCAGACTCAGCGGCCCCAGGCTCCGCAC